AGGGTGGTGGACCATGCAATGGTTTTGAAGTTCAGGCTTGCCATTCTCTGGAGCACAGCTGTCAACGTTTCCCTTTTTTTAAGGGAAATTCCCTTATTCCGAATAGGATTCCTCTCAAGAAAAGGGGAAAGTTGACAGCTATGCTCTGGAGCTGCACCCACCACAATCTCATGTGGCTAGGAAGCATGCAAAGCAACATCCAGTTTTCTGCAAGCATTTTTTTAAAAAAATGACAAGAAAATGAACAAGCATATTATTTCTGCAGAGGTCGATAAAAACTGTGCTGTATTTGAACATCCTTACAAATGAAGTGTAATTACAATGAGCGCTTTTCATTTCTGGCAGATAACATATAAATAGGTACAAAATCCTCCGTCTCTTTCCGTTTCCTCTTGGTTTTCTGCGATACATTCATCAAAAGAACTGGCATTAAAACAGTCACAGGAGTCAGGTGTCTACAGAGAAAGGAGGTGGATGAGGTTTTGCCAAATGCAAAAAGGTTCTCCTCTCCCCCCCCCCCCACCATCCCACTGCCAGATTTTGTTTTAAAACATCCGTGACTGTCTGTGCCAGAGAAAAAGAGTCCTAGCATTATGTGTGAAAGCTACACCTGGTATGTGAACGTGTCGAGAAGCAATTTTGGCATTCCAAAGAGGGAACCACAATAACTGAAAATAATTAAGCACCATTAACACCCTTGACAACAGTTGGGTGGAGTGAAAATAAAAGGAGATACATACATGGGGGGGGAGTTCTCACCTGACACATTCTAATTTGTAGAATCATAGAATTGTAGAGTTGGAAGGGACTCCGAGGGTCATCTAGTCCAACCCCCCTGCAATGCAGGAATCTCAACACACGGTCCCCCATCCAATTTGAAACCACACTGGACCCTGCTTAGCTTTGCAAATGTGCTAGCAGGCTTCCTGTTGAAAGGCTTTACCCTGATGATAATGTGCTGCTCAGTTTGATTGCTCTGGTTTGTAAACATTCATCAGCAGATCTCAGTCTCTGCTGAACATCTGCAAAGTGGACATTTGCAGGGAGTCTGATGCAAGGTTAAAGGATTGATATTTCTGGAGATGCTTGCCTGGTGCTAACTATAGTTTAATTAATGAATGGCTTGGCAGAACAGCAGAGATCATTCTGTGTGTGACTAAAGAGTTAATTCTTTAACAGTAAGTCAGCTAACCAAGTGTGTTTGTGTAGGTTTTCCTTAGCAACCAATCACAGCAACATGATCCTCACTGAGGTAGCTCTGATTGGCTGTGTCTTTCTGAGGGAGTTTTTCCTCTGTCCGTCTGGTTGAATGTCTCTCTTTGTCACATACAAGGCCTGAACTATCCCCAACTGATTTAATGATAAAAACCATACCTAAGAACGTTTTTCAAGTCCAATCCAGATGCGGACTGGGATACAGATCTGTGCTTAAAAGACTTGGAAATGGAAGGTCTTCAACAGGTGCCAGAAAAGACAGTAGAGAAGATGCCTGTCTTAACATGTAATAAGAGTTTCAGAGCACAGGTGCTGCCACACTAATGGCCTGATTCAGACACAGATGGAACAGACCTCCTGGTGAGATGGTATCTGCATGAGACCCTCTCCTACCAAACGGTATTATTATGTACTTTTGTATTTTACTTTACTTGTATATCACTTTGAGACACCCTATTTGTTGTGAAGCAATAAATAAATTTGATAAACAAAAGGGATGGGTCTCATTTGATAGGCTTTTTTTATAGTGGACAGGTGAGGAATTAGAAGTACTTTATTTTCTGGATTTTTCTCTCTTTCTCTTTTAACCTCTTTCCTACTCTTGTTATGTCTTTTCTTTTTCTTTATTTCTCTCTCTCCCCTTTTTGTGTTTCTATCCAAATAAAAGTTTGTTGTTTTTTTAAAAAAGGGAAATATATTAAGTTTGGCATTTTTCTCTATAAACCTTAAGAATTCTTTTTTTAAAAAAATTGATTAAATATTCTTAACGTCTGCTGGTTTCCGCTTTCATTCTTTTTGTTATATTTGCCGATATGTTTTTTAAACCTAGTGGGAGGGACTAACATTGACCACGGTCCCACTTTTTCATCACAGCTCTTATGCACTGCAGGGGTGTTTGCGAAACCATGGTTTGCACCAAACATCGCTAGATGTGATAACTGCGCCGACATACCATTGTTATAACCATCCCTGCACCTTGGAGGCTGCTGCACCACATAAATGGGAATACTGAGCAGATGGGAAATGAAGTGAAATCTGCTCCTGCTAACCATGGTTTAGGGGCAATGTCTGAACTAAGCTGCTTAAATGGGGAGAATCTGTTTGAGCAACTGTCTGTGTGTAAAGGCCTGGGGGAAAGGCCACCCACCATGCACAAAGCTGAAGACGCAATGAATCACAAGCTGATGAGCTGCTACCTTGGAACAACCAACAGTTTCAGAGCTTTTCTCTCGTTTTGACACAGACCAACCCAGAGTCTTGCCTGCCAACTGCAGGGGTCAGTGATGCTTGCTGCAGTTCTCCTTCGTGCCTGAAGAGGGCACTGAGGCCGGTGAGTCCACAGCAGCTCAGTCCTTTATGTTCCAGATGGCATGGAGGAGAATCTCAATTCGGTTTGCATTTAAACTTACCTAATTTGCATTTTCAGCATCAATATGCGAACCAAAACACAGCCGCCCTTCGAAATTCACATTTTGAAGGATCTTGCAAGTGTGGTTCTCCGGCCAGGAGACATGTACAAAAATGCATATGCATTTAAATGCACTTATTGGTGGGAAAATGCGTTATATTAATGGAAATTGCATTGCAAAAAATGTGATTGATAGGGAAGACTGCATACAAAAATGTGCACAGGAAGAACTCAGGCCAATGTAAGTTTCACTAGTGGGAGTGGTCCCTACTCGCAAATCAATAGTCAATAGTAACAAAAACTAATCTATTCAAAAGTATGTATTCTGACAAGGATTACAAACTCAAATAGAGATTACAAACTCTAACAGAGATTACAAACTCATCAAGATATGTATAACACAGAAATTCGTTACAGAATTAGAGATAAGAGTTTATGAGTAGAGATAAGTTCATGTTAGTCCATAGTCAGATTCGACGTGGAGGTCTCTAGAGCAAATGTCAGAAGTCAATTATGGACTAGAAACTCCCACTATTGAAACTTAACATTGGCCTGAGTTCTTGGCGTGCTTTTTTCTTGGTATATTTAATAACAAGAACTCCAACTTACAAAAATGTGCACGGCAGAAGTTTGCATTAAAATGCTAGCAATTTTTCACAGGAATTCTGTTAAAAGAAAATTGCAAAATGATGCAGAAATGCGGAGAACAGAACTCAAGATGGGGAAAACGAGAGATTGTGAAAAACTGAAACGGACATCTTCTCCTGTCCCTAATTGCGAGGCACCAGCCCGGCTTCCGAGACTGCACTGTGCTCTGGAAAAACAGCTGAACCCTGGAGAGATTGTGTTTGGCAATCTTGGTGCGCGAAGGCTCAAATGCCCTTCTCAGTTTGCATCCATTATGCTAAGGGGGTAGCAGTGCAGTTAAAAGAAAAAAAAGTGGGAGGGGGACCTCACTAAAACTTGCCTGCTCTCTGGTTGCTGAGAATCGCTGGAGAATTTGGGGGGAAACAAGAGGAAAGGTAAAACCACAGGAGAAAAAAGAAAGACGAGGCATAAATAAAGGTAACAGATCCCACTCAGCAAGCAGCACTCAGTAAATTTACTTCTGAACTCCGCATTGGCATGGGCTACCCAGCACAAGAAAGAAAGAAAGAAAGAAAGAAAGAAAGAAAGAAAGAAAGAAAGAAAGAAAGAAAGAAAGAAGCTGCTGTAAAGCCCACTTAGCCTTGCCAGTCCCTCTAGCTAGAAGAAAACTTTGCTCCTGGCTAGAACAGACTCGGGGCAGTTGAAATTTGATGCTATTGGGAGGTGCCTCTCCTCTCCTTCAGCTGTTCTCTGGGTAAAGGTAAAGGTAAAGGACCCCTGGATGGTTAAGTCCAGTCAAAGGCAACTATCGGGTTGCGGCGCTCATCTCGCTTTCAGGCTGAGGGAGCCAGCTTTTTTCCACAGACAGTTTTCTGGGTCATGTGGCCAGCATGGCTAAATCGCTCCCGGCGCACGGAGGACTGTGATGAGTGCCAGAGTGCACAGAAACGCCATTTAACTTCCCACTACAGTGGTACCTGTTTATCTACTTGCACTGGTGTGCTTTCGAACTGCTAGGTTGGCAGGAGCAGGGACCAAGCAACGGGAGCTCATCCCGTCGCAGGGATTTGAACCGCTGACCTTCCGATCAGCAAGCCCAAGAGGCTCAGTGGTTTAGACCACAGCGCCACCCACAGAGACAGGGCTCAGTGGTAGTGTATCTGTTGTCCATGCTGTTCAGTCCCCCATCCGCAACTCCAGGTAGGGCTGTGAATGTCCCTTGCATTTTTTTAAAGGTTGCGATATATATATTTGCACAATTTTGTAACCCTAGGGTGAAAACAATGAGGGTGGGAGGGAGTGGCTTCATGATCAGAGAGGGCCAACCAATCAGAACCGTGTACAGCACATCTCCAAGAAGGGAGAGGTGGTTTTGCGATTGACACAAAGGAGCAGCCAATCAGCGCTGTGCACAGCCCTGCTCCAGCTAAGTGGGAGGTGGCTTTGTGGGCTAGCCGAACCAACACTGTGCAAATCCACCTTTGGATTTGCAAAGCAGAACAAGTTAGTGGAGAATATGGCCGAATATAGTGGGTGTGTTGCAGGGGTGGACTAGCTTCCAAAATACCCTGAGATTCTTAGGAATTTACGGTAACTTCTGAAGCTGTTCTGTGCTCCCACAGACTCACAATATCCCCCGCTCTGAATATAATAGCTTCCAGAAATAGAAGTCAGAGCTACCGACGCTAAATACATTCCAGACAAAAAGCCTTTTTCAGGGAGAACTTGACTGATGCAAAGCGTATCATCTATCTGCATGGGAGCATCAAAGCTGAGTGTTTTTCTTCTCTTGCTTGCCTGCAGAAAGCAGCCACGGCAGTGCAACAAAAAACAAAGCCCACAGCCACACTCACACCTACCCCTGTCTCACTTCAACTTTAAATTGGCCACCATCTCTGGTTCAGCCCCTATCAACGCTGTGTTCTCTGACTTGACTTGAGAGCCAGGAGCCCCAGGAGGAAGAGTTTGCAAAGCGCACAAGATCCAGAGCCTCCCAGTGCTGAGATGCCCTAAGTTAGAAGACAGGCAAAAGGGGAGGGTGTTTTGCCATGACATGGGCACCAGGAAGGGGAGTTGTGGGAGAAGGGCAGGGCCAGGTGTGCACCCCAGGATGCCCTAGTATCTAAGGCCAGCCTGGCTGCGCATAGTATGTAACCCAAAGCACCTTTACAAACAAGACAGACTTCCCTATTGATTCCTGCATCCAGGTATTTATAAAAAAGAAAAACAGAACTGCGCCCCATAGCACCGGCAATATAGAAGAGTTTCGTTTCCCCCTTTCCCCCCACCCCACCCTGCCCCCGATTCAGCAACCAAGGCCATTTCTTTTCTTTCTTTTTTTAAAAAAAGATGCCCATTGTCTTTAGCCGTCCCTGCAGTGCTGATAGTTGCCTGTAATCCAGTAGCAAATCTGCGCGTATTTGAGGGGAGTGATGCGAACGGCCACATTGAAATCCTGCGGGGAGCCGTTTGTGTCCACCCACTGGTGCCCGGAAAATATCCCAATGATCTTGCGCTCCCACTTGCGGCTCTGCCTCTTCCACATCCGTACGTAAACTCCCGAGCCGCTGGCGCCCGGCTGGGCGTCACACTGCTGGTACAAGAGGTCGTACGTTTCGTCTTTGACGTCGCAGAAGCGGTAGACCAGGTTCCCTGGCCGGTCGTTGTCGTAGCCCGAGAAGTGGATTCTCCCGCCAGGCAGTTGCTTTGCGGCCGGGCTCACGCCAATCTTCATGAACTTCCGTTTGTGGGGTTTCTTGAGCTCCAAGAGGGCATAGTCGTAATCCATGCCAATGTCGTTGGCATTCCCTTTGATCCAGCCTTTGGGGACGTGAGTCCGTTTCACCCGGATCCACTGGAATTTCATCCTTTCCGGCTCCGGGGAGCTGCTGATGTTTGCCCCCTTGCTGCCATCTTTCAGCTTCGGCCGCAGGAACCCCACACGCAGTTTCCTGGCCCCTTTGACGTAGCTTTTGCCATCGTGGATGCAGTGGGCGGCCGTGAGGACATGCTTCTCGGCCACCAAAGTCCCGGTGCAGCCCGTGGACAACTTCACAGAAGTGGAAAAGGGGTAGTTGAGCAAGAAGTCCTTGCCGAAAATGCTGAACCTCGTGTCGTATCCGTAGATCTGCCTCTTGGCCCGAGATCTGCTCTGCGTCCCGGCGCTCCCTCCGGTCAGAACGTAGATGCCGACTTCCGTCTCGGTTCGGGAGCCGTTGGAGTACAAAGTTTCGTAGGACAAGTAATCCTTCACCTCCTCGTAAGTAGGTAGCGGGGAACTCTTGTGGCAAGACGGGCTGCAAGGCGAGACCACTTCCAGCTTCGCTTCGGCATCAAACTGTGGTTTGTCCAAATAAGTGGTTGATTGTGGCAGAACGACGGGGACTCTGTAGGATGGCCAGGTGGGCCTCCAATGGGAACTGGAAGGTAGAACACCGTTGATGTCCACAGGAGTAAGAGAAGGCATGGTAGGCTGGTCATGGTGAACCCAGAACTGTGAAAAGGAAGGAAGATGTTATTTATTTATCATTTATGTATCATATTGTGATTTATTACAGAACATCAAAGTAGATCATAGAACTGCAGAGGTGGAAGGGACCCTTGGGGTCATCTAAGTCCAACCGCTTGCAATGCAGGATTCTCAACTAAACATCCAAGACAGATAGCCGTCCAATCTCTGCTTAAAAACCTCCAGAGAATGAGAGTCCACCATCTCCTAAGGGAGATCATTCTGCTGTCGAATAGCTCTCACTGTCAGAAAGGAATCTCCTTTCTTGTAACTTGAAGCCATTGGTTTGAGTCCTACCCTCCAGAGCAGGAGAAATAAGGCTTGTTCCCTCTTCCACGTAACAGCCCTTGAGATATTTGAAGGTGATTATCATATCTCCCCTTAGTCTCCCCTTTTCCTGGGAAACACACCCAGTTCCCTCAACCACTGAGATCCATGCATTGGTAACCTCAAGACTTGGTTACTGCAAGATGGTTATTGAGATGGAGCTACTCTTGGGCCTCATGTGGAGACTCCAGCTAATGCAGAACGCCGGGGCGAGACTCCTGAGTGGAACAAACTACCTCCAACGCATAACTCCAGTGTTCCAAAGTCTACACTGCCTGTCCAGATACTACCAGGCCAGATCCATGGTTCTTGTAATTAATTTACTAGGCCCTTAACGATTTGGGTGGATACCTCAAGGCTCACCTAATCCCTGCCTGATCACTGGGGTCTTCAGGGGAGTCACTGTTTTGTGGTCCCGCATGGCTCTGATGCTCCACTCATTTCCAGCAGGATTGTGGGCCTGATTCTATGAAAGTCCATTCCCAGTAACTAGCCCAAAGGAGTTCATAACTGAAATCCCCACTATCTCCAGATAGGGCTGAAGAGGTCAACCCTGCCTGGAGAGCTGTTGCCAGTAAGTATTGACAGAACTGGAGATGGCAGGGATGGAACCTGCGACCTTCTGCATGCAAAGCAGATGTTCTGCGACTGAGCTATGGCTCTTCTGCAGTCCACAATTCCACACTGGTTCTAACTTGTTAGCAAGAAGCATCCCACAGCTGAAACAAACAGACCTGAGACGAGAGATACATGATCTTGTTTATTCTGCTCTTGAGGTCTAGGGGCTCCTTTCCTTCACAGTCGCAAGCGGTGAAGAAGTCCAATTAAATAGCGTAGCCTTTCAGATTTGCATTGGGGAAACAGAGTGGATCTACTGGTGCAGCTAAATTGGATAGTGTGTGTGGGTGAGAATTGTAGACTAATAGAAGCCACCGTTTTCCACGTTAAATTAAATCCCCCAGGAAACCCAGGGGAGCATTCTTCCTCGGCTCGGATGATAAAAGCCACATCGTAGGGTGTATTTGTAGATGACAGGCAGATTAAGTGAGGTCTCCAGTAGCGAAGAGCCGCAGGTACCACAACTGTGCCGAGGAAATATGCAGGACTTTGGCTTATTTGAAAATTAGCCAGGCAGCCGAATCACTGCAGGAGCCCAAGTGCTCCCTTGCGAGAGAGGAGGAGGGAAGGCCTGCCCATTCCCGATAAGGGATTACTCAAACAAATCACAGCTATTAGATGCAGCTTATGCATATTTAAACCCGGCTGGGGTTAAACCAATAATGACCGGAGCAGCTTAGCATCATTCTTGAAATGCCTCAAAGGAACAGAATACAACCGTCTCTTAGAGAAGGTGTCCGCAGCTGTGCGAGGGAGGAATGGTCCCTCCTAGCATTCACAAAGCAGCCCTCTGTGCTGCAACCCACAATTCCACCCCACGCTGCCTTCAGTCTGCGGATAATCAGGTTACCTGCTGTACCTGGCCAGAGTTAGGCCACAGCTCTGCTACTGCCAGTCCTCAAAACTTCTCCAGATGGAGACCGAGTGGGTGCATGCCCGCTTCTCTGGTTTGTTTTCTGTACCACATTTATTTCCTCCTCCTGCTGCTGCTGCTGCTGCTGCTGCTGCTGCTGCAAGGAGCTCAGGATTCGCCTCCAATTATTCCTCAAAACAACCCTGTGAGGTAGACTGGACCAAGAGGTGATGACTAACTAAAGTCAAGAGATGAGGTCACTAAGTAAGTGTTATTATTTGAGCCCTGGCGGAATATCTATCTGTTTTGCATGCTGCGCAGCACAAATCCACACAAATTATTTGATCCAGGTAACAACCTGGATGGATGGGAGGCGTAGCTAATGGCACAGAAGACAGAATCAGGGTTCAAAAAAGACCTTGGGCCCAAGCTAACAGAATGAATTTCAATAGGGACAAATGTAAGGTTCTGCACTTAGAAACAGGATGCAAAAATATAAGATGGGGGACACCTGGCTTGTCAGTAGTACATGTGAAAAGGATCTAGGGGTTAACATGAATCAACAGTGTGATGCAGCAGCAAAAAAGCTAATGTTCTTCTAGACTCCATCAACAGAAGTCTAGTGTCCAGATCAACGGTAGTAATACTACCACTTTATTCTGCCTTGGTCAGACCACATCTGGAATACTATGTCCAGTTCTGGGCACCACAATTTAAGAAGGATGTCGACAAGCCGGAAAGTACAGAGGAGGGCAACCAAAATGATCAGTGGCCTGGAAACCCCTAAGCCTTTTGAGGAACGGTTGAAGGAGCTGGATATGTTTTGCCTGCAAAAGAGGAGACTGAGAGGAGGTATGATGGACATCTTCAGATATCTCAAGGGCTGGTTTAGATGCTCCAGCTGGTGCAGAGGACAGCAGCCAGATTGATGATGGGGGCATATGGCGAAGAACATGTGACGCCATTGTTAAAACATCTGCACTGGCTGCCTATCTACTATTGAGCCAAGTTCAAGGTCCGTGGAGGAATTTACAAAGCCCTGGACAACTTAAGTCCAGGGTACCTCAGAGACTGCCTGAACCCCGATATCCTGGTTTCTAGGTCGTTGGTTGTTTCCCGAGTTGACAAGGCTGGTTTGACAGCCGCAAGGAACTGAGCCCTAAACACCACCAGCCTCCTCTTGCGGAATGGTTCTGCCAGCAGAGATTAAGCGGGTGCCTTCTGTGCCAACTTTTAAATGCCTGCTGAAAACATCAGGCTTATGCAAGCAATTAACACATCTTTCCATAACAGTTAGCCATTTCTGATTTTACCTTTCTACATGGTTTGGTAAGGTAAAGGTAAAGGGACCACTGAACATTAGGTCCAGTCGGGGCCGACTCTGGAGTTGCGGTGCTCATCTCGCTTTATTGGCCAAGGGAGCCAGCGTACAGCTTCCGGGTCATGTGGCCAGCATGATTAAGCCGCTTCTGGTGAACCAGAGCAGCGCACGGAAACGCCGTTTACCTTCCCGCCGGAGCGGGAACTATTTATCTACTTGAACTTTGATGTGCTTTCGAACTGCTAGGTTGGCAGGAGCAGTGACCGAGCAATGGGAGCTCACCCCGTCGCGGGGATTCGAACCACCGACCTTCTGATTGGCAAGTCCTAGGCTCTGTGGTTTAACCCACAGCGCCACCCACGTCCCTACATGGTTTGGTACTGTATGGCTTTAGATAAAATTCTTGTATGCTGCACTGGTATTATTTTAATGAATAGCAAAACTTTAGGAGGCAACAGCTGGTGTGTTCATGCGCTTCTTTTCCTTGATCCAGGTGGCAGGACGGCATGGAAGGAGCTCTCTTTCGAAAAACAGAAGCAACACTCAAAGCATGCCGTGGTGCATTGTATCCAACAGACTATGCAGCAGTCATTTGGGGCAGATCGCTAGGTGAGCCTATTACAGCTGTACCTGCTTTTCTCCATCAGCTTCTCCGTCAAATAAAAAACAACGGAAACTTGCAATAAAATATGTTTCAAGAACTGTGCCTACCGATGGAGGTGATTTGTATGTGTGCGTTTTCAAGTGCTCTAATACTGTTGTTTTACCTGGCTTGCTAAGTTTGCTGCAAATCTCCCTCGCCTGGCGGCTTCGCTAGCTCGGCTGAATTAAAAGAAAGGGAGAGGAACGAAGAATATCCAGCTTCCCGTTTTTTTGCCTCTAGGCACTGCCATGTCCAGAAGATGTCACTGTCGCTGGAAAACACGACGGCATCAAGGGAACTGACTAGGGAACGCTCTGTATCAGCTGGTACATCTGGCATATTTTTCTCTACACGCCTTATTGCAGAGATAGATGAATGGTGATTTTGGGGTTTAGGGAGGCCAAAAGGAGGAATACTGTATATTAAAGGTGTATAAAGGAGCATCATCGTGCATAAAAAGTATGGGCAAGTTGGACAGTCTCCTCCTCCTCGCATAGCAATAAGGGTTCCCTGATGATGATGACGACGACAACAACAACAACAACAACAACAATTTATTATTTATACCCCGCCCATCTGGCTGGATTTCCCCAGCCACTCTGGGTGGCTTCCAACAAACCAAGTTGCTATAAGTTAAGGACAGGCAGAGAAACACACTTCTTTGGGTGTCCCATAATGGAATTTGGAATGTGGAATTTACAGCCCACCTATCTATGTTGACTTGGATGGGGTGTTTAAAATGGGACAGACAGATTCGTGGAGGACTGCTTTATCAACGGCTATTTGCCACATCCATGGAGCTTTGATGTTCAGGGACAGGGAGTCTTTGCATTCCAGGTGCTGGGGGTGAACAGTGGGGCAACAGCAGGAGAAATGGAAAGATAATGCCGTGTTAGAGCCGATGTGGTGCAGCGGTGAGAGGGCTGGACTAGGACCTGGGAGATCAGGGTTTGAATTCCCACTACAGCCAAGAAGCTCACTGGATGACCTTGGGTCAGTCACTTTCCCTCAACCTTTTCTACCCCACAGAATTGTTGAGAGGATGGCATGGGGGGACGACGACCCATATATTCCACATTGGGATTCTTTGGAAGATGGGATATGCATGTATTATTATTATTATTATTATAATTAATAATAATAATAATTCATTTCCTCATCTTTTTCATATTTCTCTATTGGTACCATTACCTCATGCTACTTAATGATTAAGTTCCATCTCT